GTGGTCGAGTGAGCAGTCCGGGGGCGGTGACTTCAACCACTGGTTGTGCTGGCTGGTAACAAGTGGGGAAAGGAGCAGGAATCTGTTTCGACAGCCTTGAACACGAAGCGCTGGAGGATGCTGATCTCCTGGAGCACCAAAGGGTCCTAAAATCTGGAACACGCTGATGTGGCCCTGGAGTAGGTGCAGAAGGAAGGTCCTTGCCTGGAACAATCAAAATGTACCTTGAAGTGAAGGTTTCCTTGCCGGAGCTTAACCTTGTTGCAAATGTTTGTATGTCTTCTACCTCTCTGGGCTAGAGACTCAGAACTTGGTCAATCCACATTGTCTCTCTAGGATGGAGACTCAAGGTGTCCTGCATCTGTTGTTGTCTCGCTGGACAAAGACTCTAAACGTAGAATATCTCTCTCCTCACAGGCTGGAGGCTCAGAAAGTGGGCTTATCTGTTGCTGCCTCCTCTCTAGGATGGAGACTCAAGGTGTCCTGCATCTGTTGTTGTCTCGCTGGACAAAGACTCTAAACGTAGAATATCTCTCTCCTCACAGGCTGGAGGCTCAGAAAGTGGTCTTATCTGTTGCAGCCTCACAAGCTGGAGATTCAGGACTTGGTATCTGTTATTGCCTCTTCCCACATGGGCTAGAGGTTCAGAATGTTGATGTTTCTGTCTCTCGGAATGGGAGACTCAGAACGAGTGTACCTGCTAGTGTCTCACCCTTGCAGGACGGAGACTAAGAACGGTGTATCTGCTATTGTCTCTCTGGATGGGACACTCAGAACGGATATCTGTTACAGTCTCTCTGGACGAAAGACTCAGAACTTGTTGATCTGTTAGTGTCCCTTCCCTTTCAGGACTCAGACTCAGAACAAGGAGTGTCTTTTGGGAAGGTATCTTTATCCCTTTCCGATGAGGAGGAGATTGCAATTAGCCACTTCTCCATTTCAGTGCTGTGATTGGCTGTTTCCATCAGAGTGGGGGAACATGGTGTGGCCCACCCTTCTTTCCTCCTGTAGAAGTTATTTGCATAGTCCAAACACAAATTTAGAAAACTGTCACTAAAGTTTTACTAGTGCATTTTTCACTTACCAAACCACAACCAGAAACATTAAGTCCAAACATGATGGAAAAAGATTGAACTGTCATGCATGTATTCATTTGTCTATTAACAGCTGAGTTTGTGTAAGATGTTGCACTACACATTGCTGTCACTGAGAATACTTATTTCTCTGAATAAGTATAAGATGTGTATGTTGTAGTTTGCATCAATTTAAGGTTTGAGAACATAGATATGAATGGATTTGGGTGTAACTCTGTGATCTCCCTGTTTCACCCACTGTTGCTGCGTCCAGAGTTCCTAAGGAATTTTTATGGCGGTCACAGGCTAAAACCTTAGGAATCAGTCTGTTGGTGGGTGAAGCGCAGAAACTGCATTTTGACCAATGAGAAGTCCTGTCCTTCCTGGGCTTTGTAACAAAGGTTGTCTTCCTGCCCTCTAAGAGGTGTAAGGCTGTTGTCCTGGCATCTTTATCTGGTGGAGTTGGACAGTTTGCTTATGTTAATCCACCAAGATCCAATCAAAATGTAACAAACCTTTGTCCACTATTGTGGTCAGAGAGGGGCCCTGCCATAAACTGGGCCCTGGAATGTGCTGTCCACTACAAAAGGCGGGTATTGGTGGTGATCCTTAGCTCTACATCGAGGTGGCTCTTCACAAAATTTAATCCACCTCTTCTTGATATATTAAAATTTTTTTAGGAAATTTAAATAAGGAGACCGAGCTGTTTTGTAAATGATCGCAACCAAGTAATATGCATTTATGTGATGAAGGCATAGCTAGCAAGCAAACTGTAGGCTGTAGTAACTAATGGTAATGACAGTAACTCGCGCTTGAGCGGGTGAACCACTGATGCTAATGTGCTCTAGTTATTATAGTGTTAGGGGAGGGAGCCATGAAGCCATGCTCTGTGGCTCCAATGCGTCATCAAGAAAAAGGCCATCGTTCAGGCCACCCAAAAAATCCTGAACACAAAAATGGTGAAAAACTTTTTAACAGTCTAACGCCACAATTCAGTACTACGTAGTTCACAGTCTTTGTAACACATTTTCAGCAATACATTTCTAACATTTATAATGGGTTTAGAAGCAAATCTCTGAATTGCCTTTTACATGGACTTTAAAGTTATAAAGACTGTTTTGTCTTGTTCCCAGTTGTTGATGTGTGGTACAGGAGATATAAACGTGCAGGACTTTAAAGCTCATGCTGTAATTGTTGGAGGGTCATGGCACTTCAGAGAAAAGGTAAGTGACTTAATGTTAAATATATTTTATCCTTTTTTCAAGGTATGCACTTAACATAGGTTTATACAGAAATAGGGTTGGCTACCGTTCACATTTTAACCGGTACAGTACCGGTATCGATACCTGAATTTCGGTGCCGGTACCCAACGGTACCTTTTTTCGGTACTTTACTCTCTGTGTAATTACAAAAACATTTATTTCAGTGAAAAAAAATAAGGTCAAAAAGTCTCAATTTCAACATTTTGAACAATAGGGCCCTACAAACTTTTCCTTTCTTTTTTTTTTCCCTCCAGAAAGTGTGAATATTCCTTTAAAACATTTTTTAATAGGCTAATAATTAATAATTGTTTTCTACAATTAAGTAATTAATCTGGTTGTAATATTTATTTTGATAATTTAATTGTTTTAATTGTTTTATTT